TATATATATATATATATATATATATATAATTTCACTTTGTAGTCCCTGCCCCTAAAAATGTGCAGTCTGCTTAAATATGTAAATAATTTGCTTTCAGGACATAACTCCATATTTTCTAACGAGTTCATCCAGTACTTCTTACAATGGCTACTGAGTCATTTGAGGGAGACCATTATATCAATAATGTTGAGATCAAAATATTTTGCCAATGTTCTGAGCCTTCTTTGATCCTGTGATATGACAAATCATCTTTGGATTGGTATTTTACAGAATACACGATTTAAACTTGTATTCCCCCTGAGAATATCTTGTGCTCTCATCTTTGTTTCCTGCCATCAGTGACACTTTGAACGGCAAAACAGCCATCGATTGCTTATAAAACAGACTGTTCTGAAACAAAACGGTATCACCTTTCATTAAAAAAAAAAATGTAATCAAGTTTCACCTAGTGCCTACTTCCTTTTGGAAAAGAAAAGGAAAGAGAAATGATGTCATAATCGCAAACCCCTTTCTCCTATCTCATAGAATATTTTTTTTGTCAAAACTATGAGCAGGTTAAAACTCTACAAGTTGTGAAGAAGATCAGAGGCCAAGACAAAGTTGTGCATTACTGACCATGTCTACGTGTACTATTAATGTGAAGCAATAAACTCTGGGGCTTATTGCTCCTGGGCATGCTGTTTGAATGTTCACCCAGGACCACACCACATTGAGCCAGACCAGAGCAGCCTTGGCTGGCAAGGGATCCGGGGGAGGGTCAGCCTGCCAACCCAGGACTGCTTCCCTTTGGCTCAATGTGCTTTGGAGGGATTGGCTGGGGTACGAGGGTGCTCCAGTGCGGAGGCTAGTCAGCAGGCAGTCCCTGCACTGAAGCACTTTCATGTCCTATCCAGCTGAGGCAATGTCTACATGTGCACTGCTGCAGAGTAATAAAAACTCCACAGCAGGATTTACAAGTACTATCCTGCAACAGAGCTAATTAGTTTACTCCAGCTTAACAGAGGTGAGGGTGTAGATGTGCAATGTTTACTTTGGAACTAATTAGTCTGCTTCACAGTAAATGGCTCACTGGGTTACCTGTTACACCCTGAGCTATGATATACAGACATACCAATGTGCAGGTTTGTCCCAGGGATTATGGTTTCTGAAAGAGCTGAGTCATTAATGGCTGCAGCTTGCTAGGTGAAGGAAGAAGCACCAGAAGCAAAGAACTTCTGTGCAGAAGCTTCTTGTCTCTAGCAGATCCCAGGAATCCATGGGTTATGTGGCTATTCTACCTTCTATGTGGGGCACAAAACTCACACCTTGCAGACTTACTCTGGGGTAACTCAATGGGATGAAACTTTTAGGAAGCCAGATTTTTAGTTGATGTAGACCCACTGAAATGCATGAATTTGCTGCAGAGATCTTCGTTTCTGCACAGAATTAACCTCCTTGAGCTCTAGTTACTTACTTACATGCATAAGCAGACAAGGAACAAGCAGTATTTAAAAACACTGATTATTTTTTGTGCCCCCTTGCCCCCCCTCTATTTTCAGATCCAGAGTTCAGCCTTGGTATCCATGAAAAGAACTTGCTCGAGGATATGACAGTTTCTGAAACGGACATCAATTTAGAGATTTCATTTGCAGAGCAGGCAGCCAATGTCAAAGATGACTCCATAGACAAAATATGTGGAGGCAAAGAAGATGACACTCTGCTTCCTGTAGGTGTTTCTTACATGCTGCTGTAATTGTTTTATTACAGTTTTTTATTTGATATAAGACCTTTTTGACATTGCTTTAGTGATACTGGGTGATTCAGTAAAATTCAGAGTACTATAGCCAGAGTTGGTTTTCATTGGCTTTGGCCTGTTCATTATGTATATGACTTTGAAAAAGTATTGGGTATTTAGTAACAGATATATGAAAGTTTTAGTCTTATATCTGCTCTGTGTCACTACCTTGCTGTAGCCTTTACTTCAAAGGGTGCTGTTCCTCCAGCTGGGGCCTAGCTGTGGTCCTGTGCACCCAACTGGAGTAACAGTGCCTTTTGAAATAGATTTCTGCCAACAGCTGGTGCACCTTTGCAGTCACTAGTAGCTGTTTGCTGAGCCTACACGTACCCCATGACTATTTTGCAGACCCTCATCTTGGTATGGAGGGGTTATGAATCAAACACTGCTAAGAATCTGCATTCTACTATATTTACAAATTCACTGTTTTCTGTGTTTTCAAGTAATTTGCCAGCCCAAATGGTCTATAATTGCTCGAGTCCTCCATTTTCCCCTTCATCTAGATGGGCATGTCTCTAGTCCTCAACCTGTTATCGAAGAATTTGCAAATACTGTTGCTTGTGGGTTGGAGTTCTCTTCAGCTAGTCCCTTCCATGCTCTAGAATGAATTCTATAAGGCTATGATGATTAAAGATAGTTGAAAGTTCCCTGATGCATTCTTTACTCATCATGAGCTACATACCTTACCCTTTGACAGCTTTGCTCGTTGTATGCACATATTTTATTTTGTATTAAGCAAGGTAGGTGTTGAAGAGCTCTGCCTATTTTGCGTCTTCCATTAATCACTCACCTTCTCTGTGGAACAGTGGACCCACAGTCTTCCTGGTTTGTCTTTTTCATCTGATATTTGTAGAAGTGATGCTTACATTGTCAATAAATGCAAAAGACAGTAAGACAAGGTTCTTTGGGTAAATTTGATATCTTTTATTAGACCAACTCAAATAGTTGGAAAAAAATTCTTAGCAAGCTTTCAGGTTTAAAAACCCTTTGCCAGTTGGTGTGTGCTCTTCCTGAATGGACTGACTAGTAAAGAAGCTGGAGGCTGATATGCATGCAAGAAAGCTAGTCGGTGAAGATGTAAATTGAGGAGTCAGTGGGTGAGAGATGGGGGGAGGGGATGAATGTAGCAGATAAATACTGGAGAGGTACCTGAGGAGTCAGATGTCAGGGAGGTTATAATGTGTCATAAATCCAGTGTCTATATTTAGTCCATGATTTTTTGTATCCAGGAGGTTGATAAAATGAAGTTCATGGGCTTGTCTGTGAAAAGTGTTTTATAAATTTCCTTTGAGGATTAGAACTGAGAGATTGGAGAGAGAGTGGTTTTCTTGTGAGAAATGTGCCTCCACCAGTATTTGGGTATTTTTGTCTTTGATAGATTTCCGGTGTGCATTCATTCTGGTGGTCAGTTGTTGTTTGGTCTCTCCTACATATTTTCCATCTGGGCATATGATGCATTGGATGATATGTTACATTTCTTGAGGTGCAGCTGTAAGATCCAGGAATGCTGATGGTTCTGTTGTGGGGTGTAGTAATTGTGGGGGTGGTGGAGATGTCTTGGCAGGTTTTGCATTTCTTGTCATGGCACGGTCTGGATCCATTTGGTGTGTTCTGGGCCATAGGAAGTTTGCTTCTTGTGATGAGATTAGCAAGGTTCAGTGCTTGTTTGAAGGCTAGGATGGGTGGTTCTGGGAAGATCTCTTTAAGAATTGGATCTCCTTCTAGTTTGGGTTGCAGTTGTTTGAGGATTTTCCATATAGATTTGAGAGAGGGGTGATATGTCATAACCAGCGGTATGCAATTCATTTCAGGGTTTTCTTCTGTACTGCAGCAATTCTTCACGTGGTATCCAGGTGGCTCTTTCAAACATGCGATCTATCTCTCTGGAGGAGCATCCTTGTTGAGTGAAAGCCTTTTTAAGGTTTGTGAGGTGGTAATCCTGTGTGTTCTCTTCAGTAGAAATTTGGTGGTATCTGAGGGTTTGGCTGTATAGCACAGCTTTCTTGGTATGTTTAGGGTGATTCCTATCTCTTGCCCACTGACTCCTCAATTTACATCTTCACTGACTGGCTTTCTTGCGAGCAGACCAGCCTCTAGCTTGTTTACTATTCATTCCATCCAGGAAGAGCACAAACCAACTGCAGATGCTTACTCAACCTGATGAAGGGTTTTTAAACCTGAAAGCTTGTGAAGAAAATTTTTCCCAACTATTTGAGTTGGTCTAATAAAAGATTTACCCAAAGAACCTTGTCTGCCTATGTCCTTAGCCCAACATGGCTACAGCCTACACCCCTTGACAACTGTAACTCATTTGTCACCTTTACTTTTCTGATTTTTCTTTTACTCATTCATGCTATTCCTTTGTATACTTTGTTAGCCACACAACCTTCCATTGCCTTTTTGTATATTGCTTGATTGTTGGATAGTAAGCTCCTTGTGTGTGTACATCACTCAGTTGCTCCTCTTCTATATTGGCATAGCTTGATTTTGAACCTCCAAAATTATGTCCTGAGGGAACATCTAGCTCTCTTGGATGCCCTTATATTTTAATTTGTCTAGATATACAGATAGACTAGATCTGTACTGTTTAATTTTTGTGCCCTGCAAGAGGTTCGCGGAAGATGCCCTCTCAGAAGGTCATGCCCCTTCTTCCAGAACCAGAAACAGCAAGTCCATGTTTATGCTGTGGCTATATAAAATAGGTCTGCTTCTCAGCAGAGGTATAAGCAACATGAATGTAGCTGTATTGCTTTTGGATAAGGAGCTGGGGTATAACTCTAGACCAGGAATACTAGTTGGGCCTGCAAAGGGTAACTGCATTTATGTCCCTAATAGATTGTACCTTACGTCCCCACACTGCTTGCACTGTTCACATAATCACTCTGACAGGCTTCTCTTGTTGAGTAAAGTCCTTTTGTCAGAATCCAAGAGAAGTGTTAGTCACCTCTCTAAGGGAGAAATGGAGATAAGATTGAAGAAAGGGGTGACCTTTACACCTCTAATAAGATGAAGAGCAGGGAGAAGTTAATATTTGACTCAATTTCCAACAAAAATATCAATCATTTCTAGATTTCACATTTTGTCTCAAAAGCCTGTTGCCTGTGACTGTATTTCCCAGCACTCTCCAGCATATGCAAAAGAAACCAACACAATGGCATTTATAGGAATGAGGCATTTTTAACCCTTTGTAAAAGACTTAATTGTTTGTTAGACTGAAGAGCCAAGAAATATTTCCAAATTGTGAGAATTAGCTTCTACTCAGTTACGTTTTTTCATCTCACAACAAACAGGCCTCATTCTCAGTAAGGCTAAATAAATACAAAGTAAGATCTTCAAAGGTATTTTGGTTTAGATATTCCTTGAGTATATAAACCAGACTGCCCTAGAATATCATATGCTAGAAGCGTGCACTCGCACAGAAACCATAAAGTAATAAATAACACAAAAAAATTATTCCGTCAGACGTTGCGTAAACACGTCTGAGCAAACTAGGTGCTTGAAGCAATAATGTTTCAGCGTTCTTCAAACACTCAATTTAGATAAGAACTCATACATTTCTTCAACTAATGATTACCTAATGTTCTCCTGGTTTTAATGCTGTAAACCAGGCACTAATAAAACATTTTGAATCGTTTCTAAAAATGCTTCAGTCATGCTTTAGCCTCCCCCTACACATGCAGGTAAAGGCATGATTGGAGTTGATGTATGATCCACACAATCATACCTTCTGTCATGCCACAGGTGCATTTGTGGGATCATGCATTAGATCCCATCACACCTTACTACTGGTGTAAGAGGAGCCTGATCCTGATCCCCATGCATTGGCAGGAAGCAGGCTCCCATGGCTGGGAGCCCCCTCTGTTGAAGGGGCTCCCAACCTCAGGGGCCCTGCACAACTGGGACCAAGAGACATGCAAGTGTTGGGGCTCCTGGTCCCTGCGGCACCTTACGCACAGCTGGGACGAAGAAAACCCTCAGCTGACAGGACCAGGAGCCCTGTCACTTGTGGGACTCTCGGTCCTGGCTGTGCATGTGTTGCAGCCGGGACTGAGAGCCATGTGTGGGCCTGGTGGGTTTCCTGGCAGCCACAACTCCAGGGCTTGGGGGTTTTACACTGGGCAGGGTGCATCCATGCAGCTGGGAGCTCTGTCAGCTGATGGGGCTCCCTGACACAGGGAAGACCCTGCCACATGTGCAAATTAAAGCTTGATAGCAACCAGCTATAAAGTTAATACACATTTTCAAGGTCTAACTTTAAGGCTGGTACAGGCATACACACATAAACTGGTATAAGTGATCAGAAACCAATCTAAACCTGTAACAGAAGAGAATTCGGGGCACATCGACTGGTTTAAAAATGGCAGAAACTTGTCTAAGAAAACTGGATGGATGTAATATCAGACTTGATTGTTTTATGTTAGACCAGTCTTGAACTTCTGGACCAGTTCCCCTATCGATTCATGTTAGGTCAGCGTCCGATAGCATCCCAGGGGCCTTTGTGGGCCCACCTGCTCCTCTTCCCCTTTGCATGGAGTCAGGGAATTCAGCTGGGCAGCTCCAGCTGAGCACCTAGGTGGCCCCACACCCAAGCTGTCACATAGCTGAGGCAGCAAAGCCTCTGCTCCCCTATCCTGTGTCCTGCCTGTGCCTGCCAGTGGGCACTGGTTGGGGGAGAAGAGGCTTCTGCGATGCAGGGTCCCCCCACAACTGTGCTTGCTTGGGTCTGGGGGGCTGGTGCAGAGCTGCAGAGCAGGGGCCTGTGCTCCCTTCCATTTCCCCCCAGTGATGCTGGGCTCAGCTGCAGCTGCACATGGCTACCAGCCCCAGCTTCTGGATGTCCATATCAGCCAAACCATGCAGTGACAGAGGGTGTGGGAGGTGGGGGAGCAGAGGCCCTGCCCTATGGACCCAACCCCAATCCCAGCACTTCTCAAACCAAAGCAAGCACAGCTGGGAGAGGCCTCCACTTCCACATCTGCCCCTGCTGCTGTGCAGCTCCACTGACATGGGCAGGGAAGAGCTGGGGCTGAGAGCTGCCCTCCTCACTGCTGACAGCCACCACTGGCAGGGAGAGGTGCGGCTGGGAGGCATGGGAGAGTGCCCCCCACCTTATGGCCTTGGCTAGCGCAGGCACTTCCATGCCCCCCTCCACCCAAGGGTGAATGTGCATTCTGTTTGCACGCAGAACAATCTGTGCAGCTTGGAGAAACCCACATAGGTTGTATCAATCCTCCCTCAGGCCTTTTGAATGCCTAACCTAAGCTGGTTGGAGCTTTTCATGGTGCGACAGGTACTTTAAATGGGTAGCTGGTCTAAAGGTAATTGTGCAATTAACCAGTTAATTGCTTACTATCTGTAACATGTGGAGGTGGCCTTTGTAACAGTTTACAATAGGATATGATATTTTCTATTGTATACTGTTATTCAGGGTATGAAAATGTGGTGGTGGGATGAATGGTGGCAGTGTTAATTGCTGTGGTTCCTAAAGCAGCAGCAGTTACCACTCATCTGCCACATTTCCAGCCAGTGGGCCAGATGACACAGCTATGCACTATGGATTCAGCCTGCAGGGCTAGAACTATGGTGGTGGAATGGCAGCTCAGCTCCAGGAGCCACAACAATTAATGCTGTTGCTGCTTAACCAACCCGCTGCCAAGTTTTCAGGCCCTCCAGAAGCTCTGAAGTTAGATGATGTGACCCCATGCTCTGGATGCAGCCTGTGGATCAGCTCTATGCTCCAGATCTAGACTGTGGGGAACCCTACACCATTCATCCAGCGGCCCATAAAAGCCCCACCTGCTGGGTGAATGTGATACCCTGAGTTAGTTGAAACAGGGATCTCCATGAAGATCTCCATGAAGATTATAATATTCGGTGCCTCTCCAGTAGAAGGAATACCTTGCATAGCTTCTGTTTGACCCATTCCGGCCGAGATATATCATGCTTTGAAAGATGGATCTGGGCCTTGTCAGCTAGACTTCCTATGTTATAGTCTGAATAGGTAGAAGTAAAGTCAGAAAAGTTAAAGGACCACCTTTTTGTTCTGTGTCTGTATGGCTGGAGCACCTGAGCATCATTGCAATACAAGTAATGAATTACAGATATCAAAGCTCAGATGAGCCCATTACTTATTTATATAGCACCCAAAGGCAAGCAAGGTGGTTTATATTCCACAACGATTATTATCTATGGCTGTGATCATATTATTGTTTGTGCATAGGACAGCTGTTGCACATACATGAAGCTCTAACTGAGGTTAACTGGGAGAACAGAAAGACACCACTCAAAAATGTGCATTTATTAAATTATCTGAGGCAGACAGGGTTTCATCCACTACAGTATTCAAAAGTCTGGCCTTTGCAATGTAAAGGAATGCCCTGCATTCTCCAGTCGTGCAGACACATTGAATTAGCATTATTCCCTCTCTTTCTTTTCTTTCTTTCTTTTTTTTTTAAAGGAAAGTGGGGCAGTACCCTATTGTGCCTATCAGGAGCAGTGTGCTTTTGCCATTGGCAAAGCACATTCTTTGCACCCAGTCTATTCAATTAGTTGACAGTAGGATTTTTAACGTGACACACGTCTTCTATTTTAGAATTTCAGACTGCCAAAGGACAAAACAGGCACTACAAAGATTGGCGACCTGGCCCCTCAGGACATGAAGAAGGTTTATTCTTTAGCACTGATTGAACTAACTGCTCTTTATGACATACTCGGGACAGAATTCAAACAACAAAAAGCTTTAAAAATCAAAACCAAAGGTGAGCATACAACTGCTATATATTCTTCTGAAACAAATAGGTTAGCAAGTGTTATTTTTTTTGCTTTTGTTCTTTTGTCTTTTAATGATCCTAAAGCTGGGGATTTGATCTGATAAGCAAGACTCTTAACCATATACCACAGCCCCATCACTCTAGGCTCTCCTCATGTTTAAAAACCTTCATGTGCATAAATTATCCCAGCTAAGAAACCATGGTCCAAAGCTAACATCCTCTGTCTGGCAACTAACATTAGTCAAGCATATGGATTGAGCATATGTGCTAGAGACCAAATGAAAGAAATATTCCCCATATTGCCACAGTGTGGTGGGAAGAGTTGCACCATAGATACTTCCATATGATATGTTTAGACTGCAAGATGATGATTGGCATGTGCTAATATATTTATGCTTGCTTAAGCTACATCACACAGGCAGCAATAGCAGTGAAGATGTAGTGACAGGGGACCTCAGACTAGTGTGGGTGCTAACAGGTGCACCTTGTTGACATGTGTAGCTTGTACTGTTGTGTCTTTGCTGCTATAGTTACTTGTGGTAACTAGATTAAGTTAGCATGAGTGTGCTAGCATGTGGTATAATCACATGTTCATTTAGTTACGTAGACATCACTGTAGATTAATAGTTTCCTGGGTTTTAAAGCCAAAAGAGATCCTTATCATCTAGTCTGACTTCCTGTTGAACCCTGACTGTAGGATATCAGTCAGCTGTAGCAAGCCCAGTAACTTGTGTCTGACCAAATCACCCCTCCTCTCTAGAACTACAATGAGTTCCATACTCCCCAAGGGAGGATTTGCTTAAAAGTGGGTACTACTTCACTATCACGCCTCTGCACTGCGTTGCAAATTGCTGAGCTTTGAATAATAAAGAATGATCACGTCTACACCTGATGCTACATCACCATAGCAATATGCTATGGCAACGTAGTGTACACAGGTGTCTACACATGACCAGCAGCTACTTTGCTGTAGTGGCATGCTCCCTTGTTATAGCGCACTGCTACAGCAAAGTAGTGACTAAAAATAACTGTGCACCGTGCGTGCAGCACAGTATGGGCAGTTACTGTGCCTTGCTTTAGTACTTCCAAAAAGAAATATTAAAGCACAGCGCAGCAACAACATCGCCATAGGGCAGTGTGTAGATGCTCCCAATGTGTGACATGTCTTGTATTTGTTCTCCCACCCTTGCTAAGGGCAATCATTTACCATCTGTTTCCTGTAGTCACTAGCATTAATTTCCTTGCATAATATAGCTCTAATTATATATCTCAGATTTCCAATAACAATAGAGCCCATTGCTTTGCTGTATGGAGGGATGGCATCCTATGGAGTAGGAGGTTGTGGCCGTTGCAAAGAATGGTGAGATGCTTGCAGCCAGCCACTTATTAGATATGCAAACCAACCAAGGGAACATACATGATCTCAATTCCTTTTCCAAAACTTGAGATGTGTGGCCATCCATTTCAAGATAGAAGAAATTTCACAGTTTTGTTTGTCTTCCATATTTCTGATGTTCTGCTAAATGGTATACAAGAACCTGAAATGTGTTACCAGTTAATCGCAAACCTGCTTTGGGCAAAACTCTGTTGTCAAGGTTCAGTGGATATGTGACAGTGAAATAGGTCACTTTAAATAATTGAAGCTACAGAGACTGTTGAGAGATATATAGCAGTGCAGAATTGATTCCTTAGCATATGTCTTTTACTTTACAGGAGTAGAAAACCACTTTTTAAATGCATAACCACAGTCAGCTTTGCAGCTTTGATTTCCATCCTGCAGAAGTGTCTGCATACATTAAAAATAGTACATGAGCAATAGACTTGTTACTCCTGATGCTTTTTCATCATTTATTCATTTTAAGCAGGCCTTGTTTCAGGCCTGTGCAGTATTAATTTAGGATTGGTTTAAAACAGATGTTGCTTTTCTCCCATATCTCTCTTTTGTCCCGAGATCTTATCCACCTATAAACCTGTTGTCCCACTTTAATACCTGTGAAGTATGCAGGATAAAAGGCAGATACTTTTTCCTGGGACAAGGCCATGTAGTCAGAGCTGAATCAAGTTAATGGCCATTTCTCTTTTGTCCCAGGTTTTGATCAGTTAGACGCTACCTCAAATGATATGTGTTTGGCTTTATTTTTTAATGATGGCCCCAGAGAAGAATTAAGTTGATTAAAAACTTTGCGTCTCCACCAAGTCCAAGAAAATGGGTCTGATTTGGAAATATTAGAGCAGACTGGGAAAGAGACAGTGTGCCTTTAACTGTCCCAGGACTCATGTGGTTTCAGAACTGCTTTAGTAATTTGAGGGCTGCAGGAGATTTGCTGTCTAGCTGATTCCATGTGGTGTGATGTAGACTGTGGATCCATACAGTAGTGGATCCACAAGCCTCTTCCTTTTGTTTTTGAACGGACTGCAGATACTACAAAGCTCAGTTCTGCTGCAGAATACAGTTCTGCTACAAACGGGATTTCTGACCATGCTTCCTGTAACCTACTTCTTTGCCTTCACTACACTAAAAACATGCGGGTTCTGCATTTTAGTAGGTCTGCAAAAAAAAGGTAAAGATTTGGGGAAGGATTGTGTCTGTTTCTGTGGGTACATGTTTTATGGATGTCGGTCTATTTTTCATATTCCCGATCAACAAGACAAAGTGAAGAAAGTCTGTTTGCTGACTAGGCAACTTTGTCCTAGTACATCCCTCATATTCTTAGATCAGAACTCTTCTTTTTTGGTACTGTCAGATCTCCTCTGCTAGCCCATTTCTGTGTTACATGTTGCCATGACACTACACCAGACAAAAAGCTATGACTATCTGCTCTCAGGATGTATAGCTAGGTGGCCAGTGGTCTTATCCTGACAGAGTAGCTCCAAGATAAAACTTTACAGTTTAATAAATTGCAGTTATTTAAGCTGTTCATTTCCAATCAGTATTTATCTAAAATGAAGAAGCTGTGACATAAATCGATTCTGCCAAGCCCCTGCTGACTTCAGTGAGCTCTGTATCAAGCTCATGTATTAATTTAAAGTTAGCTGAGCTTAGCGGCTAAAGTTATTTTTTTTAAGTTTATATTACCATAGTGGCAAGGCAGTGGCCATACTTTAACCTGGGCTTATAGCCAGTGTAGAATAAAACCTGACTTTTACTTTTGTATAAGAATAACTCCCTACTGACTTAGCATTGACAGTATGATTCTGCATCTGGGCAAAAATGTACAATGACAGTTGACTACTCTTCTTTGCAAGTTCTGATGGAGAGAACCATTCAGAGTTAATATAGATGATAATTACCTCTATTTCAGTTTAGTAACCAGACTTCTGGAAATCTTGCTAAAGCCATTTGCATCTAAACTATAACTTGTATCAAATGATAAAGATCTGCATTGCAGGGTCATCATTGCAACAGCTTTCTGCAAACCAGAATCATACAGATGGTTCATTTATGCAGTTTGCTTCACTCTATTGCACAATGTATGGATGTCAATTTGAAGTTGAAACAGAAGACTCTTGATTTATGGGTGAAAAGAGATGAATGAGTACGTTTAGCCCAAATGGTTTGTTTAATTATGCTCTGAATGACTTGATTGATGAAGACATTTAGACAGATTCTTTGAATAGAAGAACAGTTGCTCAGAATGTATTGAATAGGCTTATCTCATTGACAGTCTCTCTTTGTGCCACTACCTCATATATTGGTCCAGATGTGGATAGTATCTCTGTTTCCTTTTGCATTGTGCAGATTCTGGTCTTTTTGGTGTCCCGCTGTCAGTTTTGCTGGAACAAGATCAGAAAAAAGTACCAGGCACCAAGATACCACTGATCTTACAAAAAGTAAGTAAACACAAAGAAGCCAGTTTGTTACAGACCTACAGAATACTAAAGACATTAGTGTTTTGTCCCAAGTGCCTAAACTCACAGTAATCTAGCCTACCATTTCAAGTGTAGCACTCAATTCCTATAGAACTTTCCATATCCCCCCCCAAACGAGGTGGAACATTGTGCATTAAGTTTGAAATTTGGCTTTATACATGACTTACCTTTGCTGAATTAATGTGGTAGAGAACACAACTTCATAGGCTGTTACGGAATTTTTTTCTGAAGGTACTGTGAATTACCATTGGTAAACAGAGATTAACAGCTTGATGCAGAAATCGTTGCTAGGTACCTACCTAAATTGTGGTTTCACAGATGTTGTGAAAACTGAAATCTAGGGCTAGTCACAAAATTTGCAATAAATAAATAAATAAATAAAAAACAAGTTTTTATTAAGTCTTATAGCTCGCCCAGGATGGAAAGGCGTAGGCAGGTGGGGTGACATGAAAGGGGCAGCAGGCAAGATGGTGGTCGCCGCTGTCGTCTGCTCCCCCACAAGGCCTCTCTGCCAATCAGTCCTGAGGGATGGAGTCTCTCCACCAATTAGTACCTAGGGGCAGGGCCATCGCAAAATGCCCGTGGAATGGGCTCTTTGTGCCAGGACAAAGTTGCAAAAATAACTTTGTCTCGCCATGAGTTAAGTAGGTCCGTAATGACTGGGCGAGTTTCTGTAAGTGCTAGTGTTATGCAGGATGACCAGCCTTGGCCAGCATACACAGCTTCCTGGTGGGGCTGCTCCTGGCTTGGCTGCAGCCACCTGGGTACTACTTAGCTCCTTCCCACCTCCAGCAGCTCATCATCCTCTTGCTTCTCCTTTTGCCCCTGCTGCACTGCTCTGGGCAGGAGGCCAACTGCAGCTGGGTGACTCCTACCTCATCTCACAGGGCTCTAGCTCCAGCTCCTGGTTGCCTTCTACCCACTCCGGCCAAGTACCTGGAAGGTAGCTGGGAGCTAGAGCCCTGTGGGGCAGGAGCCACCTGGCTGCAGTTTACCCCCTGCCTGGAGCTGCACAGAAGGGGCAGGGGCAGGAGGAGGAGCTGCTGAAAGTGGGGGAAGCTGAGCAGTACCTGGGTGGCTGCAGCCACTCCAAGAGCAGCCCTGCTGGGAAGCTGTGCAGGCTGGTTGGGGCTGGAGCTGGGGCCGGAGCTGGGCACGGGTGGGAACATGGTGGCACTGACCGCCCCAGGCAGGAGCAGGCAGGGCTCAGCCCAGTGTGGCATGCCACAGGGACAGCTGCAGACCAAACATGACCTCACTGCCTGGACGAGCTGTAGCACATACCCCCTGCCTCCCTTCCCTCCCCAACGCTGGCCAGCTTCTGGGACCTAGCACCCAGGCAGTGCCCCCATACACACCTTTGCATGTATCCCCACACCCTGTCACCCTGCTCCCACAATATACAAAATACTTTATTTTGAGCAATTATGTAATTGGCTCTATATACACCACTCAAAAAACCCCAAACAAATCAGAACAAAAATTATATTTCAAAATCAAATTAAAATATAGTAGATTTTTTATTTTTAGTATATTATTTTTAAGCTAAAATTTATAAAATTATATCTTCTGAAAGATTTCAAATGTGTACCCATCAACAGCTCACCAAAACTCATTAAGTGGCACTCCAGCCAAAATAATTGCCCACCTCAGACTAGATGAAAGTACTGTAAGGTAAATATATATAACTGACTGAATCATCATGGTCAATGAGCAATCATCAGTCTCTCAGTGTCTAGCTGGGAGGAGGTATCAAGTGGAGTTCCCCAGGGATCTGTCATGGGTCTAGTATCGTTTAACATCTTCATTAATGATTTGGGGGATGGGATTGAGTGCACACTTAGTAAATTTGCAGATGACACCAAGTTGGATGGAGTTGCAGATGCACTGGAGGGTTGGCCTAGGATCCAGAATGGTTTAAATAAACAGGAAAAATGCTTTTCAATCAGATGAGACTGAACAAGGACAAGTGCCAAGTCCTGAGCTTGGGACAGAATAATTGCATGCATAAATACAGGCTCAGGAATGATTAGCTACGATGCAGTACTGCAGAGGAGTTGAGGGTTACAGTAGACCATAAGCTGGATATGAGCCATCCATGTTCTTTTTGTTACGAAAAAAGGCTGACAGCATCCTGTGTTGTATTAACAGGAGTGTCACTTGCAAATCAAGGAAAGTGATTC